ACTAGTCTGAGTCAGTACTATCTTGTAAATACCATCTACCTTTAATTTTCCCCTTAGTGAAATACTCTAATTGACGTTAATCTGTAATTCTACTGCTTTGTTTATATCTCCTGAATCCAAAAATAGCATACAGTCAGTTATAAATGATTTAGAATGTGACGTAAATATGTATAAGATTAGGTTGTAACCCTTTAAATCAACACAACAAGAAAAAAGCTATCAAATCAAAACAGTACTATCCATGATAATGAAGAGTGAAAATATATAACATAAATTGGAAATGACGAACAGAGCTAGAGAATGAACGGTTTGAAAGAGGAAAATTTTTCAAGATTTAATGGAAGATAAGGAATAAATATGTTTAACTCTGTGCAACATATTTTGAGTCATCACCTAAAGTATGCCATCATAAATGACCTCAACCGCTTAGACTATATTTACCAACAAGGTTCATTTCAAAGGTTAGCGACATGATGAACTGGTGCTATGTCCATCTGTTCCTATTTTCTTACAAAGATAATGATTCATAACCATAAAGTATTACTAAGCAAACTGTTAGGAAATATATTCGCCCTTCGATTGGCCAAGGTCCATTATTCATGTGCTAAATATTGCAAAAGTTAACAAAAGCCAAGTACAATTATAGTAGGCGTGCCGCTAATCCACTTTCCCATCTGTCAGTTTTTCTTACTACACATTCATGTATTTTCAGAAACAATGTAAATAAATGTACTGTATACTTGACTGCTTAATATTCTACATGGAGTGTAACTTCATGAACGTAGATGGATCTGTCCTCATTAATATACAGCAACTACATAAGAGAATATGTAAACACATTGATGTTTTTTACTTCTTCGAGTTTAAACAATATCAGATTACTGAATTGTTCTGAAAACGAGTACTGAAGCCTCTTAAAAGCAATTAAATTAATATATTTGAATTCTTATGTATAAATGTCCTCAAAAGTTCTATTTCATTGAGTAGTCTTGAACTTTTATAATCAATCGGATTTCACTGTTAACTTGAAATTTGTTGAATTATCTAAGTATTTTACTATTTGTTTAATATTAAAGGTTAAGTCACTTAATTTGTTTATATAAACGTTGTAGAACTGAACTGGGAAATTTATTTATTATTTAGCTTCATTACCAGACTGTAGATAGAGAATCGATCATTTTTCATCATTAATTCTATAACACTACAATGCATAAATGTTTGCATTTAGAATTTTAATACTGAGGTTATTGTAAAATTCATTTCGAGAATTATAATAATAAGTAGCCGATGAGTGTTATGTAATTGTACATATCTGCTCGGTATCTCAGCTTAGAGTAATTGAACACTTACGACAGATGAAATAGTTGTGATTCATTGTAGACTGTGTAATCATGTTTTTGAGGTAAATATCTTAGCTTGTTTTAGTCATAGTTTCTAGGTCATCCAGATATATTGATTATGGCTGCACTAGCCGGAGTCTGGCATTTTACTCTGAACATTACACTATTTTCCACGTTCTATTTTTTGCGTTTGATAGGAAATATTGATATTTGATATAATAGACAATAAATATGACAAAATAATACAAGTTAATTGAGGATGGAGTTGGCAGTCACTGAAATCAAGATTAGTAGATTGACGGCCGGTGTGTTGACGTTCGAGCTTTTTCAGTTGAGTTTAGCTAAAAATTGTTATGCATAGGTTTGTTCGAATATTCAGTGAGTATAGATTCGTTTATATGCTTCATATTTGATTATAATGAGACCATTTATGGGGGGAGAAAAGTAAATGGTATTATTGTTGATGATCACAACTAACCATAATGTGAGTGAATTCCATACATGAATAATTTCTAATGAAAACAGTAGACAAGGCGAACCTACAATTTATGGACGTACCAATCAGATTTACGATAACATGTCTTGGATTTCGGCGCGAAATTCTTTATCTCTCTGTGACACACCAAGGTTAAAGTGATCACAAATGACTAGGCTGGTGTGACATTTTTGAGCTTTTTCAGTTCTAACTAGTTAGGAACCAAGGGGATTAATATTCACGGTAAATTTTGGCTTTTAAAAGCTTACTTAAACAAGAGAAATTATAAAATTTAAAATCCAACTTGCCAACCATTTCACTTTGAAACTTATCGTTTCACTTGTTTCCTTACAGACTAGATTGACAAGCAGTATGACTGACCATAAAATACTACTGAGGGATACTAACTAAAGTAAACGCAACTTCTGCGTATACTTATTTATGTTTAATTTCAATCAAAGGATGATGGTGATCAAATAAGCGGGATATTTTAAAATAAACAGACAGGGAAATAATGTGGACTGTTTATTTTCAGGTGCAAGACTGTTTTTCAATTTTCGGTAGCTAAAGCTTTTGTAAACCTTATAAAAATCGAACTAACTCAAAAGCCAACGAGTGAATGTATTGTCGATAAGTCACTACTTTGGAACATTATGAAAGAAGTTAAATTTTTCACTACTTTCTCTTCGTTAACACATTCAAGATGACTAAATGATTTACCCTCACATCATAAATCACTTTTGTTGCTTCGAATCCTTTTACACTAACTTGCATAGTGTTTGAGTTTAAGTAACACAATATGTTTTTTTTCAGCACAAGTTTCTATGAGTATTCAGCGAAATAAAATCCTATCCAATATGCTCAATCATATTTGAATTTCTAAAATACTTTGTTAGACTATCTAAATCTTTAATTGAACTACAGGTTAGTCATCCGATGAATTAAAGCATGTTGAAATTATCTTGTTTTAAAACTAAACACTGGCAGATTATAGACAGCTGCTAGTTGATAAGTTGAGTTTATTCATATCATTCTGTTTTTACGCTTTTCAGGATGAACTAGAGGCAAAATGTTTATCCATTGACTGGAGTAGTGGAAAACTAAAAATACAATATCATATCTAGTCAAACTAGTTCTTTTTTTATCTTAAAACAACAGATAGAAGTATAGAAACATAATTTCATATACAAAATATTTGTAGGGAAATTCAGAAACATAGCTAGAAACCACATCGTTGTAGGGATTCTCAGTCTTTCGTTGCTGATTTCGAGGATCAAATTCATAAGTCTCTACTGAGATATAGGCTCATTTAGTATATTACTTGACATAGTCTACTTACATAACTTGATTAGCTGTGTTAATTTTCACCCAATTGGCAGGCTTTGTATTTAAAAATCACATTCTAGACTATATTGAGACTGTTAATTATGTAGTGAATTGCATTGACCTAGCTTAGATCACCTCGTGAATTCAATTGTGGGAATACTACAATCTCCACAAATTCCCATACTCATTTATTCTAGTTTTAATCTTTAAGACATGATATTTGGTGGAACAGTAACTGTTCCAGTTGACTTTAATTACTTTCACTAACATTTATTAACATGTGTTGAGAAAATGTTTTATAAAGTGATTTTTTTATTTCACATGTTTCTAAGGTAAAACTATATGTTCAATTGAATGACTTGCCTTATGAATACACTAGATATTCGTGCTGAAGATATTTATACATGTACTGCTGAGTAAATTCCCAACCCAAAGTAATCTAAGTTAGAGAATCGTAAACTACAAGAAACAACAAACTAAATCCAAAACAGATTTATGGAAGTTTTGGTGTGAAACTGTGATCTTACTCAGACGACAACTCACAACTAACATTGGATGAAGATTACATCATATAGCAAATTGACTGAGTTTGGAAATCTGGACCATTAGATTTTTATTTATTTGTCTCAAGTATCATGATCACTGGAAAACAAGGTGCTTTATTCAATATTTAATGAGATCGCCAGTGAGCAGTGTTGGGAAGTCTCAAGCGCGAATGAGACTTTTGTTGAGTACTCTGTAGGTTCCAGTGTGGTGTGTGCTACTTATATTGACATAAGTAGTACATGATGTTAGTCGTGAACAGGTCTAGCAGCAGAGAGACAAAAGGATCAAACAGTAAAGAATGGAAACAGGATGCAATTAGTATGAAAATGCAATAACAATGAAGTCTGAGTCATTTTGAGGCAATTGGTGGACATTTTGCAAATTAAGCATTTGCTTTATGATTGTTAGATTTTATTAACAAGTCCTGTAATTTTGTTAAATACATTCGATTGTCCCCGCCCGTGTTCTGTTCACTACATCGGTAGTTCATCCGGTGACGTTAGCTCTTGATGATAAAATAACTTGAGTCTTCGGAAACCCATATAGAAGCACTAAATTCAATAGTAATTTTAAGCTGTCTAGGCTTTTTTCAAAAACTGAATCACTTAATAGAAAAATAACCAGCATGATTGCGAGAGAATTCCGCTTCTACCTAATGGAGCTTGTATATATACTAGATGACTTAAACTCATCCAATGTATTGCTATTTTTTAAGTTAAGATGCAAGTAAGCATGTAGGTTACTTTTTAAAAGGAAATTTAACAACAAACTGTTTTGAAAATTTATAAAATCTAGCACCTTCTAGTATTTTAAACAGATATTTCATAACTTGAAAATGAAAGGAAATATCCATGATATTCTTTTTGTAGAATGTACATCTGATTATTATATTGATGTTATTTCTGTATTACTGAAATGAACTACCGTGGGAATTAGCACATATATTCATCATCAATTTATTTAATTGTTTGTTAACTTAGCGATAATACCATAATGATATCGATCTATATATGTTCAAGACTAAATACCAATAATCTCATATCTGAAATGTGACTTCTATTAAGTAAATGGGTAAATGTAGACACTGACGCAATCAGAAAATACATTCTAGTTACTACTGCAAGACAATCTATCATCCGATTCACTGTCACCTGTGACAGAGCACAGTGTTTTGTGATTGGATACATTATTCAAGTTTCTTCTACATCTTTTTAAAATTTGACCTTACTGAAGGTTTTGTTAAAAATCACACTTTTTTACTTTAAAATGAGGTAAGTTGTTAAATATACAAACATACCGACCATTATACTCACTTCTGTGTCTAATGTCCAGGTTAATTCTTCTTCAAATACTTCTTCCATATCCTTGGACATTGTTATTTCGCGTCGAAAACCACCGTTAGCTTGCACAGGCATACTTGGTGGTCCTATTTGCAAATTTATACTTCCACCCTTTGTAACAACCTTTTGTAAACTCAGTCGACAAGATGAACTTGTTCGACGTTCAGTTCTTAAATGATTTGTCTGTGTTTCACTCGTTTTGTTTGTAAATATAGATGAGAATAGAACATGGCTTTTAAGATCTCTTTTGAGAGTTGGCGGTAAAGTCTTTGGTGGCACTGCAATACTTTGTTTGGTATCACCATTGACTATATTTGGTAAGAGGTATTCTGTTTTTTTATGAGTAACAAATAAACGTGTAAAATCAATATCAGATGAGTGAATATCATCTAAATTAATACGTGATTTTACATCTTTAGCAAATGGAAATTGTGTTACATAGTCAAGTACTAAATCACAAATATCAACTGTTTTGCGTCCACCATTAGTTTGATCATTTGGTGTCATTTCTTTATCACAGTGTTTTAATGTTTTATGAATAGAAACTTGAAAATGATGATATCTTGTTGAAACGAAATTATAGATCATTCAAGGAACAACGAAATTCATCAGTAAATATCAAGCTTCATTCATCCAATAGTAATATTTTAAATTTTTAAAACTTTTTGGGGTAGGCTATTTCAATACATGAATATCGAATATTATTTTTATAGATGTATTAATGAACCAATCAGTGTTGAGTATTTGAAATTTAATACAAAATACAAATTATAGTTAGTTAGGTCATTGAAAATGTTTAAAAATTTGAAAAATGTATGAACATACAAGGATTTATTTGATTGGCAGAATAATGATCGAAAAACCAGATAAACCTTGTGAACATTATCAATTTGAATATATTACTTATTTATAAGTTTAAAATATGAATTTCAATTTAAGGTGGAATGTATAAACAAATCTGATTCAACATAAGTTGGTTTTTATAAAAGTAATCTATATGACCTGATTAATGTGTATAATTAAAAATTATTTAGACATTATAAAAATGTCTAAGTACTACTAGCTGATAATAATTTTGTACTTATGATAACATGCTGTATCGATGATTATTCAAATAAAGTTTTGGGTAAAATTAGTCAGGCATCAGATCGGATTAAAAAAACAAACATTTATTAAGTAAAATATTAACATTATGTTGCATTACATATAAAAGGCACAAATCCCCACTCCGCTTAACTAGAACACCTTATTTATAATTAAGTTTTAACCTCAATTTAAACATTAATTGTTTTAAAAGCATGAAGTGAACTACCTTACAAAAATCAGTAGTAATTTGATTCTTTTACATTCACTGTAAATAATTCTGAAATCATTTGGTAACACAGATCTAGAGTCTATCAATAGCAAGTTTATTCATTTATGTATTTCAATCGGTCACGGTAGCAACGTATGTTGAAAATTTAAGCATCAGAACTGAATCAGTTATTTTAAAATGTGGTCGAAGATTGTGGTTATTTATCTAGTTCTTTTTATCAGCGCTGTGTGAATGATGTTATTTAGTGCATTTGATTTTCCTGTTCTTAACTTTAGATTTTATTTGTACGGTACCGCCGAATATTAGTCAGATAAATATCTTGTGGAATTAATTCTTATTAGCCAATTGATTAAAACTCTTAGTCCTCGATTTCTTATGGAAATTCCATTGCATCTTACATCTATACGTAATATATTTTTGTAGTGTTTGAATGAACTAATGATTCCTTTGTACTTGTTGAATGCTTAATTTCGAATTCTAAATACAGTACATTCGTTTGTGCTTATCTAGTACTTCTTGATCCGATTACGTTATTTCTGGGATTCTTAGTTCATACTATAATTCAAATACTCCTAATCATCAAAATTTTAGCAAAAATAAACTGTGAAGTTGAGAACAGCTGTCTGTCATCAATATACATGGATGATTGTAGTAACACCAATATTTATTTTTAGTGTAAAAATCACTTCAGCCATATTTTAACTAATTATGAACTTCTTGACAAGTGAAACACCAGATGTAGTTAAGTATTTGTATGTTGTATTCGTGTCTATGACAATTGGAAAGGGACTTTTTTGTCTTCTTCATAATGTTTCAAAAGCTCTACATTAAATCTTTTGGTGCACATTATCGGATAATTTGATTTATTGGTCTATGAAGATGGTTTTGATTTTAACTAATACCCGTAAATCATTGTGTTTGTTCTTTAGGTGAGATCAGCTCTTTCAACAATTTTGTTACTTTTATTCATCAACTGAAACTTTCTTAGAAAAATAACTGGTGGAAAACGATAAATGAAACTTGTCAATTCGTAAATTCAAGATATCTTTGTTAAAGCCTTTTCAGTTGATTTATTATTGGTATACTACGACCAAAAAGTGAAATCAATTGTAACTCCTTACTTAATGTGTTAGTTTTTAGATTTTTCTTACTTTTCAGAGCGAGTGCTTAATGTGTATCAAGAAAATTTACAAATATAGAACTAAACTACATATAAATCGAGATTGTATTACTCTTTATTGAGCAGTTGGAGACTTTCTAGCCGATTTCTAAATTTATGAAAAGGAATGTTAATTTATTCGAGTAATCATCTTCAAAAGAGGGATCGTTATTCTCGAAAAGACTTTAAAGATCAAATATAAGTTTACAAACACCTTTAGTCATGTGAATGCTTTGTTCTAATTTGTCAGTAGCCAGAGGTTGGAAGTTTATAATATAATGAGCATTGTTATTCAGAATGATGACCACCAAAAAAATAATCCGTGAAACATTATTCATTCAGCATATGTAAAGTCTAAAGAAGGTAATAAGCAAAGTTTACATCATAAATAACCACAATAATGGTCCTCCCATTTATTTAACTAAACAGAGGGGGGTGGAATTAAGATAGGCTCTGGATATGTACATTAGGTCAGGTTGCTTTACTTCACCCTACTAGTGATTTGCTTATGAACAAATTCCATTGTAGTGACTCACGTTTATCACGAGAACACGACTGGTTTAATAAAAACAATTATTATTATAACCAACTGTACCAGTGTTTGTTTTAACGTGCTTTTGTTTGACTGTGCTAATGACAGCTATTTTGTGCTTCCATTCTTGTACTTACACTTCGATTGTAACTTCGCGCGAATTCGGTTACCTTCTGTAACCAAGGTTGTATCCTGGCACGATCTCGGTATCCTCTCGATACCACGAGATCGCCAGCAAATATACACCTCGATTTGGTCCATTAATTGCCTTCTGGTATTTGGCTTCTCGGGGATTTTAATGATCTATTTGGTTACGTCCAACCTTCGCCTTCTGATTAACTTGGCACGTGTTTCTTGGTAGCGGTGTTCATAGTTAACCTCGACTCGACGCCACGCTACACCATGAAATGCAATTATATTAAACTGCAACTTTTAAACTCCGCTGAATCAACAGTAAAATGAGATGTGTGTGAGTGTCATAAGTGAAAAATAAAATAATTAAATGTCAAGTTCATAGTCAAAGCATTTATTGCATGACGGTATAGTTCACATCCTCTATGTCCAAACGACAGAGTTAGTAATTTCATCAAAACTGATGCCAAAGATCTAAATCAATACTAGTGAACTGCTACCGTAGGAACCTAAATAATGGACATAATTAGAAAGAGATTCTGACGAAAAAACATGAGGAGCCTTTATGGAAACTTAAAATTGATGACAAATTGTTAATCATAATGCCAGGCAAAGGTTATGGTGTAGTACTTATGGATTAAAAAATCTATTTAAACAAGATGAAAGCTCTCCTAAATAACAGGTGTAAATATCAGAAACTGGTAAGGAAGAATGATATGGCAGATAAGATTGAAAAAAAAACTATTAGACTCATTAAAACAGATTAAAAATTAAGGTCTTATTTTAGAATACATGTTCGAAACGTTAAGACCAGTAGGAACGATATCACCAAGGCTATATGTTCTGTCATAAATATATAAAAGTGGCTTGCCCCTTCGACTGATTGTAGATATGAATAGTTCAGCCTAACATACTATAGCAAAATGCTAAGTGCAAACTTCCAAACCATTACACAAAGGAATTCTTAAGCTTCGGTTTAAGGTCTTCTTTGAGTTTGTTGATAATATAAGGATTCTCTCGGTCAAAAATAGCTTTATGATATCAGTAGTTCTATCTTCTTTATCCACTAACATTTCGTTACTGGAAATGGTGGATTTAGTTTCCAGTGAACTAATAGACAGGCAAATAGAAACCTTCATTCCCGTATCTGCTATAAAACAGTTATATTCTTAGATGCATGATGAATGTCCACATTCGATTTCACAGTGAATACTATAGACAGTTAGACAGTGTAGCTATGGGGTCACTACTGGCCCATCTCAAGCATACTTTTTTCCTGCAAAACTGGTAAACAGACCACTTAAAGACACAGCCAGTCATCCATCATCTTACTGTCACTATATAGATGATCCTTTCACAGTAACAGAAAAAAACATGCGAAGGATAATTTGTTTAATATACTTAAAAACATTCACGCATCTATTAATTTTGCTCTTAAGGAAGAAAAAAATCATAGCATATCATTTTAAGATGTTGGACTAACAAAAAAGATACAAGAAACATTAAAAGAGAGAAGCATAAGAAATCTGTAGTTGGACAACATACTCATTTCTATAGTACTGCACCAATGAGATATAAAAGAAACTTGAATAAAGATCACGTTTTTTCGTGTTGGAATGATGTAATCTGATGACACCATTGTAAATGAATCTAGTGATATTCACAACCTGCTTAGTAGAAAAAGAAGTGCAACGAAATTGATCATCAAACACAAGAATGAAATGAAGACCGAATTTAGTTTAGTTGGCGGCCTTCTTGAACATCTGGGTTCCTCTTTTCTGCCATCTAAATATTATTACTTCTTTAACGTGCTGAGAATTCTATATTTTATCAAAATATAATATTGAATAAAGCCATTAATAATAATAATTCACGGTTCCGAATAAAGTACAGTTCTTAAAGTTGCGATTATTAAATGATGCCGCCGAGTGAATCGTAAAGCAAAAGTCGAGAAATAGGGTGCAGAAAACGTTTACCGCAGCCAAAATGAATGCGGTTTCCTACAACCTCCGGATAATGGAAACCATCAATAAAGACAGACTGTGTTGATTCCTATATCGATATGTATTTATCTGTTCAACTGATCCTGTGAAGCCAGTTATTTAGGGCGTACTATTCGGCCAGTCTGTTATCGCACAGCAGAACACCATTTATCTTGGTTGAGCAAAGGACAGATAAGAGTGGTTAAGACTTCTATTCTCTCCCATTTGGTAGATACAGGGCGTCAAGTTGACCTGAATAAATATTTTAAGGTTATCTATTATATGCCATCATATTTACTAAGTGGTTTACGAGTTTTTCTTCTGAATGGAGTCCATTTTCACAAACTTAACTTTTGCATCCAAAAGAAGTTTTTACACCCACTCTCACTACCTCGGCCATTGGTTTGGGAATGGGATTTTAGCCGAACTTTGATTGGACACTTTCCTTCAAAAATATTCAAACTATTTTCTAATTTCTTCCACATCATATTTCTGAATGTTCTCAACATTCACCAATTGATTCTAAGATCACTATTATTATACTGACATTTCATCAAAATATTTT